TAATTATTTAGCAATCAAACCTTCACCCTTGTTTGCTTGTTGTGCTTTTGACAACAAAACTTGTCAGACAGCCACGTCTCATTCACAAACAGAAAACTGAGCTGGAACATCAGATAGAATATACGTATGGAGTCAGTGATAAATGTTCAACACAGCTAATAACGTAAAGATAACAGTTTGTGCCAAAAACATTGCAATATTTCGAAAACAACATTCGATTCACATTGGATTCACACAGTAGTTCATGTTGACAAATTCACTCGTGTTAAGCATATGATGTCAAAATTCGATACCAGCCCCTAACGGCCTTCATCTTCCAAAATGGCTGCCCGTTAATGTCGGATCGAAAATCGACGACAATAATGGCAAATTTCAACATGTTCTCTTCATCTAAAATGTAAAATACCTTATTTATGGTATTATTAATAGTATAAACTAGCAAAACCTAAAAAAACCCGCATATCCTCGGATCTCATCGTACCCGCACTTTAAAATCCTATCTTTCATAGCATTGCCATATAATTTTCAAAATGAAATGCTGAAAGTGATTCCAATTTTTGTTTTTATGGAGTCTGAATGCTGATTGGACGGGTTATAGCAGTCGGAAAATCAAAACGTTGCTGTTCGTGACAATCTAGAGTTTTTTTTCGTAATTTATTCCAGCGTAATTAAATTATAAGCAACGTTTGAGTCTTACGAGTCTTTAAAAAAGTCGTGTCTATGTAGAATGACCCACACAACACAAGCCGCTCAGCTAGTACAGCCAACATACAATGCATTACTTATACTTGAACTTTATCCATGAGTTTCAAGCGATGTTATTTATCACTTACCCCTCCCCCGACAGGTGAAGGAGGTTGTAGAGACTTTAAGTTTCTCAAATGCTTTGAGAACAAAACCTTGACAGGTCACGTGATCAGCACGATCAGGATGGTAACACCTGCTCGAATATTTTGTCAGAGTGAATGTTTTCTTGAGAAACGATGTATTTCGTACAACTTGGGTCCAGTCCTTGGGCAGAACAGGTCGTGTGAACTCAATGCCGCTGACCACTCGACTCGACCGGACTCACTGGTCAACAGAGCGGGCTATGAATATTGTCCAATTCAGGTAAAAGTCGTCTGTACTGGAATTTAAGAATAGTCAACAAAATGAGAAAACAACATAGCCAATTCATTATATCATTTTAACAAGGCAGTTTTTAAACTGTGTTATTAAGAAATAATGATCAAAAGCCACATTGAATAATAACAATGAAAGCAAAATTTGTTTCCTTTCCCATCTTCAATACCAGAATCCTTGTCAGTCCAACCCTTGTCCAGGTGAAATTCTTTGCACTCCCGATTTTTCCTGGAATACATACAAATGCGACGGTGAGTACATTAGAAATATTAAATAAAATCTACTTGCATCAGAACTTAAAGTGCACAAGTCGCTCAAAAATATTTTAATGAACGCCAACTGGGAATATGATGTATTTCCTACTTTGCATACGATAAATTTAATGCCATGAAACCATTTTTAAGCGACTCCTTCAAAGTTCGTATATCTAATGAAGCCTCCCTTGACGTCACATCATTAGCATTTTCAATTTTCAAATGCCTTTAACTCAGAAAATAAAATTCAAACAACTTTTTTCTTCTTCAAAACAATGATTAGCATCATTTTTCCTTTTATTAAAAATGATTTTATAAAAATGGTTCATGTGTACCGACATTTTGGACCATTAGACTTGCTGCAATTGACTAAAATACCCGTGTGGTCTATGGGATGCCATTCAAGCTTTATGCTTGAAAATAAAAGTTCATATCGGGAGCAAGGATGGCCGAGCGGTTAAAACGCCGGTCTATCACCGCTGTGGTCCTGGTTCGATTTCCGGTCCGGGACTATATGTGATTTGAGTTTGTAGGCTGGTTCTCTTCCTTGCTCCGAGGATTTTTCTCCAGGTCCGCTGGTTTTCCTCCCTCAGTCAAAAACTAGCTGTGAGGAGTGTCGTGTAGTAAAATAATGAATGCTGAGGTAGTGAGTATGAGTGAATATATAGAGGGCCACAAGTTTATTAGTCTAGAGACTATTACGTGCTACCCTCTCAAAATAAAAGACTTTATTTATTTTATTTATGTAATGTACTTAGCAAAAACGTACCCGTTTTTATTATCTCTTTGTGCTATATAAATGGTGATATTGTAAGATTCGACCTTTAAATCCGACGTATGGAAACGAAGAATTGTGATTGGATATTTGAAGTCACCTTATTTCAAATATGAAAAACCCAAAATACAACCGTACTGAATGGCTCTTTAACTTCTTACCGTTTCAGGGTGTAAGAATTCATTGCCATTGGGAATGGAAGATGGACGAATTCCTGACGAAAACATTACGGCTTCATCGTTTTTTCGTAAAAAGAATATTTATAGACCAAGGTAAGTGTTTTTAACATCATCGTCAATTTTTATAATTGATGATAGCATCAGAAATGCGGGTTAAAGGTTGTAAAGTACTGTTGAGGAATAGCCAGCGGCCAAAAAATCGAATTTTATACATATTAAAGTTTTTTGATCGACATAAGGGTCACTGAATATCGATATAGACGATATAAAACTATGAAGTATTGATGTCTCTGAATACTTAAAGTTAGTGTCCAGTAATTTAACTTGTGAAAAGAGGGTTTGTTTGCAGCTCACTTTGTAGGTAAAAAAATATTTCTTGCCAAAACAAATTGATCTCAAAAATCAAATGGTTTACCCCCCCGGGGAAACCTTTTTACGTTCACGATATGCACCTCGGTCAATAACATACTATCAAAAGTAAACTTAACTTGGTCTTTATGTAAACACACAATAACTCATCAACAGTTTTGGAAGATTGCGCACGAATGGAAGGACATGGTCTGCAGACACAGGAAACGCAGGTGAATACATCCAGATTGACCTTGACGTCATCAAGTTCATCACCATGGTAGCTACACAAGGAAGAGATACTTCTCACAACCAATGGGTGACCAAGTACTCATTGTCCTACAGTCTGAACGCCAAAGATTGGAAAGCTTACGAAGAAGACGGTGTCAAGGTTAGTTGAGCTTTGTGTGTATTGCGATGACGCTTGTGGAGGTACTGGTAATAAAAAAAGAAGGCAACAACTTTGATTTATGCGTTGCACCCTTGATCAGGAGTCCCTACACAGCAACGCCTAACTGAAAAAGGTCAATGGCAATTTATACGTAGATAGTGAGTGGTTCTCATGCGGTAAAGGGAGTTACCTTGGTTCAGACCAGTATATCGAGATTTCAGTAGACAAAATAGGTTTATGGTTAGCTCTACTTACCTTTTCTTTGATAGATTTTCAGTGGAAACAAAGACCGAAACACTGTGGTCACTAACAAGCTTGAAAGACCCATCAAAAGCAGGCACATACGACTGATTGTCAAAGAGTTTCACAATCACATCTCACTAAGGATGGAACTGTATGGCTGTTAGCTCAATAGTTTCTCTGCTCGGGCCGATAACAACCGCAGGCTCAGTCAATAACCTCAATCAGCGTGCTGCAACAGGCTCGTAGCGTCCTTTACGCACTTAAGTACTAGTGACAAGCAAACATTAAAGTTTTCACAACAATTACTGAAAAATTCACATGAAGTTCATCCCTTTTAGATGCCCTCGATGTCTCTCAAAAAGCTGGAAATCGCATTTCCAAGAGTAATTATTTCAAAATTTCCTGAGGAAAGTCCAGACTCCCTTAATACTCCCGCCTTTTGGCTGTCGTTAGACTCCCAGATCCAAAATGTGTGTTGCAGTCCCTGACATGCGCGTACTAGACAAAAAGTACACTTAAGTCATTTTAATGACTTAAAAAAACTCCTGAAGATTGAGGCTTCGCCTCATTAAACAGATCTGTAGAAGTTCTGACCAGTAACGTTTATTCATAAACATCCCATATCTGTATATCTATACATCTTTCTATCATGCACCGTTTGGGAATTATTATCAATTATCAAATGTAAAAAGGTGATCGCTTCATATAGGCAAAAGACAAGATGGTGCCATATGTGTGTTGCTTGATAACCTTTCCATATCTTAAATAAAATGAGCCAAAGATCTTCGCTAAACATGCAAAAACTGATACAAACATAATTYAATTTCACATAGCATATCTATTCCTCTATTTTCCATTATGCACTATACTAGCTAGCGAGACAACAAAGAGAGGCCTGGAATTCCAGTAAACTAGTCCCTGAGCGACGACTAAAAAGCTAGTACATTTTGTATTTTGAATCCAATATGGTGAGATACTGAATCCTTGCGAAATCTTTCATTTAATCCGGGAACCATAAACTCTCCGGAATCCGTGTCATGGGGCGAACCAGCGTAAGTAATATCGTGAATATACGTTCTTGCTCATTCATCTCTGCTCATTGGTTGGACTTTGATGAAATCTACACCTTTGTCTCCTGACTTGAATTTTTGTAAAAACTTATAATTGTTTTACACAGCAAGACACAAAGATGTTTAATACTTAATAAGAATTACAGAATAACTCCGACCTATTTTGATCCACAATCTCACAACGCAGMGAAAAGACTGTAAGTGAATGCGAGCTGAATTGCAGATAAACAATCTTGAAGATTAATGAGGGTGTTTTGGGCTCTTCTTTTCTACTACTTTCTTTTACCAGTAAAAGGTAATTTTTCAAAAAAAAATAATTGAATTGTTTAAAAGCCGGAAAGTAATTTTATTTAGCTTGTTATGATTTTTAAATCGATGCCAACTATTCGATTAAGTCCCTACGGACAACACTTCTTCCAAAGTTAGTACGATTAAGACACCGTAAATGCGGTATTACTACATTTCACTTCTAACACTCATACAAGTAACGAGTATTCAATCGCATATAGTTTATTGTGAAATAAGSCAGCTCCTAACCGAAAAGCAATAGAAAATAACGTAAGTCTGGCGAATAAGATACAAGACCAACCATGCACCTCATGTTTGTATATTCAAAATTTACCAAAATTTACCTACTTTTTTGTACAAACAACTAAACAAAACTTTCAGATTTCCTTTTAAAGCAAGTACAAAAAACAAAACAAAAACAAAACAAAACAAATTAATTTCTATAGAAAGGATATTACATGCGTGCGCTGAGATATGGATTTTTTCTTCGAGTGTTGAAAAGAGCTTTGAGATTTTCAATACGAAAAGATAAAATTCGTATCTCCAAGCGAACTTGTAATATTCTATTTATCATATAATTGTATATGAAAGCAAAGAATTATGTCGTAAAATATCTTTTTTTACTTTTAATATTAGAGAAACCTCGATGGTGTTATTTTCACTAGTGAAAATAACAACTTTTCGAAAGAGAGAAATATAGGTATTCCAYAGATATTTATATGGTAGAAGTATATATTTGATACTGATTTGTTACAATCAATTTACATTGGTTTATATTATTATCCCTTCTCCCTACAGGTGAAGGTGGCTGTAGAGATCTCAAGTTTCTCAAATGCATCGAGAACAAAACCTTAACTGGTCACGTGATCAGTACGATAAAGATGATGACACCTGCTCTTCAACTGTGTCAGAGTCAATGTTTTCGTGAACACAAATGTGTGTCGTACAACTTGGGTAAAGTAATTGGACGGACAAGATCGTGTGAACTAAATGCCGCTGACCACTCGACTCGACCGGGCTCATTGGTCAGCAAAMCAGGCTATGAATATTGTCCAATTCAGGTAGTGTTGCAAATAAATGCAAAATGATCCTTTTCTCTTGTGAATGATCACATTAGGGATGTTGTCTCTTATTTTGTTTTGGTCAAATTTGTTGCAACTAACAAGTTTGTAAATATATATTTTCGAAACTGAAAATAGACTTAAATATTTCCGTTCCCATTCAATCCCAGAATCCCTGTCTGTCCAGCCCTTGTCCAGTTGGTAMATTTTGCACCCCAGATTTATCCTGGAATACGCACACTTGCGAAGGTCAGTAAAATGTAAACATGATAAATATCGATAAACCTACCGCGCAGCACGTCTTGCTAGTTTCGAGAGTTCTGCCCATCATTAGAACATAGTCCTGATGGACAAGGAGACCTCTTATTGATCGAAAACAAAACGAATCACATCAAATTATGGTCCCAGAGAAAAATTTCCCTATAACGTGCAAGCGCAGAAAGCAAAAGCCCTTTAGAAAAATAACGTATTTAACACTTTTCAACTCAATTACAGATTGTCAGAWTTCACCAGTACCATTGGGTATGGAAGATGGACAAATTCCAGATTATAACATCACCGCATCATCGTTTTGGCGTAACCTTTCCATGTACAAACCAAGGTAAAATGCTGGTCGACGCATTTAAAAAATGATTTTCATATATCCCAATAGCTTAAATTTGGAAAGTTTGTGCAGTCATCCAAATCTTCACAGGATGAGTGGACTGCATGAATAGTTTTACGGCTTACTAGCCAAGTTTGCTGCGACTTTGGCAAGGCAGTGAGACACGGCAGCATTAGTCGTGGGACACGCTGCAATAGCTTGAGTTTTGTCGAGCGTTTACCCGAAAATGCCCTCAGTTATTTATTTCAGACGAAGAATACACGGAAAAATCTCGATGCTAATTCAAACTCGTCGTGCCGAACTTAATGCACAAATRTTGTTTTAGGACAACAATAGCGGATGAAATTGCGTATTATTTTTCTTATGCTCTCGACTCTATTTGGATCGGTCGACCTATGATTGAACGCCTTGCCAAATGTATTTGGGGAGACACGAATAAGTATTTGGTTCAGCGAGATGATAGCATGAYGCATGAACCGGGACTACTGGCCTACCTTTTATTCTAAAGTTCTTAAGAATTTTCGCTATACATAACTGAGGTTTGCTCTCGCCATTCTGATTGGTCAATGGAATAGAAAACGACATGCAGTATTTTCAGACTTTTGATTATTTGATTATACAGATCGCAAAAAAAGAAAAATAAATAACTAAACAACGCTTAAAATCGATTCAACAGTTGCGGACGCCTAAATTTGAAATCAGACCTGGGTGATTGCAAAGGAGAGGCGTGGGCTTCGAATAAGAAAATCGCAGGTGAGTATATCCAAGTTGACCTTGGTATCATTAAGGTCATCACCATGGTAGCCACTCAAGGTGTAATAATAACGAATCGTAGAGTTCCGGAGGCTTTAATAACTCAGAAATAACCGTACTGGTACATGTTGCATGCTTTCTACACACGCGGTTCACACACACACATTTTACACACGCATGCGCGTNAGTATTTGGTTCAGCGAGATGATAGCATGATGCATGAACCGGGACTACTGGCCTACCTTTTATTCTAAAGTTCTTAAGAATTTTCGCTATTCATAACTGAGGTTTGCTCTCACCATTCTGATTGGTCAATGGAAAAGAAAACGACATGCAGTATTTTCAGACTTTTGATTATTTGATTATACAGGTAGCAAAAAAAAGAAAAATAGATAACTAAACAACGCTTAAAATCGATTCAACAGTTGCGGACGCCTAAATTTGAAATCAGACCTGGGTGATTGCGAAGGAGAGGCGTGGTCTGCGAATACAAAAATCGCAGGTGAGTATATCCAAGTTGACCTTGGTATCATTAAGGTCATCACCATGGTAGCCACTCAAGGAAGGCCACCAAAAAGGACTTATCGACAATGGGCAACGAAGTACTCATTATCCTACAGTCTTGATGGCAAACACTGGRAAGATTACGGTGAACACGGTGTTAAGGTATGGGTTTCCTGTTCTTTATTATGACGTAGTGTAATGACTTTGTCATTTGCTCTAGCATTTGGTGTTTTTTTGGGAGGATCTTCTTGCATTTTTAACATTTCACAAATGTTTATATTGTAAATTTTGTCATTTGTGTGTCTTAATAAACTGTGAATCGCGCACACACAATCATAGCTTCCTTTTTTTCATTTAAGAGCGACTTATTTGCTTTCATTTAAGATTTTTCCTGGTAACAGTGATGGAACGACAGTCGTGACTAACAAGCTTGAAAAACCCATCAAAACCAGGCTCATTCGACTGGTTGTGAAAGAGTYTCATCAGCACATTTCACTAAGGATGGAGCTTTATGGATGCTAGCTCGGAGTTCTCTGCATRACTATAACCAATGCTTTGTAATGTAGTATAGTATGGATAATTTAGTGCACTAACACTAATGTTTAACGAATGTCTGAAATATAATTATCAAAAAAAAAATTAAAAAAAAATTAAAAAAATTATTAGCGTTTTGGCCCTAACCTTATTAGATTGATAAATGCGCCTATACATCCTTTTAAATTCCCTATAATGGCATGATATGAAACACGAATCCTACTGAAAACATATGACCACTTTTCGACATTGTACAGGGAGTATGAACAATCAACGAATTAGAATGCTTTTACCGGAAAATTGTCTTTAATAATAATTTTGATGGCATTGAAATATTTGCTACAAAATACAAAGTTTCCTGTTGCTATATAGAGAAACTCAGGGGCGGATTTAGACTAGCTCAACTAGTTTCCGGAAACTAGTCAGATGAATTAATAAGCGTGCTTTTAATAGAAATGCTTATTATCTTTACATTCAATAAGCAATAACAAGGGCATCAAGCGAAATCAGATTGAAATTTATCATATCATTACACTTGATGAGTCGTTTAGGTTATTTCCTGCATGGACATGACTTAGGACCCCAAACGCACAATATCTTCTTTTTGTGATAAATTGCTAAATAAGAACTATCGAAGATGGTAGCATATTGTAGTTTATGTGATATTTAAAACACGAACTACGAGTTTTTTAAATGACTTCTAAAACCCAAACCTAAGAAACTACAATAAACATGAAATAAATAAAAAAATATCAAAAATGAATAATTGATGAAGATATCTCCATCTGAGCATGAGCAGTAATCAACTTGGTTTCCCACATCCAAGCGCCACTATGTTTTAGTCTACTGTGACTCTGCAAGTAAGTAATTTTAACTCGAGACCTAGTGAAGTTCTATGATGATAGTCTAAAACTGAGAACTTTTCTAGTGTTGTGCATACATCGAGTTTCTGTAAATCAGTTACAACATTGATGTTTTATGCATGAGTGTTATAACTAACTGAACCGGTTAGTTATAAAACTCATGTTTAATTAATCAGTGTTTATAACTTGAGTTATAGATACTGTCATGTGACCCATAGTTGAATGCTCATTGGAAGAATGTCTAATGAATAATTCATGAGTTTTAGAAATAATAATCTCTTGTCAAACGGCAGCAACATTCCCATCCAGTCTGAAATAGAAATACAGCCTTCTCTCCGGAATTGTTATGTGTCGCTTGTGTTCCTCAATAGCTAAAACATCCAAAACTTACTGTGGCAGCTCCAAGGATTTGCCTTTAGACGGTCTTTTAAGTGATTCTTTTTAAGCAAAGGTCCACTGGCTGCCTTTAGAGTTTCAAGTCCAATTTGTTTTGTTGATTAAAATTAAGCAAGAATCATTTAGTTTTAAGATTGTTGAGCTCCTTCCTCACAAGGAAAAGCAAACAATTATCAGTTAATTAGAGCATTTAGCTTACTTTAAAACTAGTTTTGGACAAGACACTGTAAACACCTGTTTTTTTATTGACTGTGTCAATTGTTTTAGCCCATATGCAATAAAAAGTCTAGCCACATGCGCATTTGTATTCTAGCGTGGAAAGACAGGGAGCCGCAGTTCATTTCGAGTTGTGACTAAGCACATATTTTTGAGACTTGTCTTTGGAACTTATGTTATTTTGCCAAGCATAAATAAGGACAGCCTTAACTGTAGTATTGGAGAAAAGANATAGCTAAAACATCCAAAACGTACTGCGGCAGCTCCAAGGATTTGCCTTTAGATGGTCTTTTAAGTGATTCTTTTTAAGCAAAGGTCCACTGGCTGCCTTTAGAGTTTCAAGTCCAATTTGTTTTGTTGATTAAAATTAAGCAAGAATCATTTAGTTTTAAGATTGTTGAGCTCCTTCCTCACAAGGAAAAGCAAACAATTATCAGTTAATTAGAGCATTTAGCTTACTTTAAAACTAGTTTTGGACAAGACACTGTAAACACCTGTTTTTTTATTGACTGTGTCAATTGTTTTAGCCCATATGCAATAAAAAGTCTAGCCACATGCGCATTTGTATTCTAGCGTGGAAAGACAGGGAGCCGCAGTTCATTTCGAGTTGTGACTAAGCACATATTTTTGAGACTTGTCTTTGGAACTTATGTTATTTTGCCAAGCATAAATAACGACAGCCTTAACTGTAGTATTGGAGAAAAGAACCCATGTATGCACCTGAAAGAATGCTACTAAATRGATTACCTCAGTTTCCARYATTTACCATGCCATCTTGTCGATGAGCATTAAAAATCTGAATGTATTTTTTGTTAGGAAGCCTGCCGGAAWATATCAATATCAGGGCTATTGTTTCCTGTAGTTGAAGAGCCAACCTTACCCCGTTACAAATAGCAGAGATACTGCTTTCTTGAAACAATAAACGCACATTTGCAATGAATGCCTGTTCGCCATGGTCCAGGTATAATAACTTGYAGATTTTTTTATTTTTTTTATTTTTATTGTCACTGAGAGTTTAGACAATGACAATGAYTCGTAGCCAATCAGAAAGCCAGWGGAAGAGTAAAAATGACGAAAGCAGTCACGCTTGTCACGCAAAACAATTTTCAAGTGAAACTACGCAGAGTTCCACAAAATAAACAGTGATTTAAATGGAGAAATCTACTTGTTACGATCGTGGTTCCACTTGTCAATAAGAGTACATACAATGAAAAACCGCATGCGATTTGTTAGATAGAAGCATGTGTCTTTTGACTAAAAATAGTTCTATCAATAGTTCTAAAAACAACAAGTTTACATGTTTATAAGAWTTCTGATTTCTGAACAAGGAATGGTACTAACTTGTGGTCTGCTTCTGAACACTATTTCATAGAATATCGACTAGCTATTTCACGCTACAATATAAAGTAGTGATTTTTAACCGAAGCGAGTGTAGAATAATCGACGAGTTCCCAAGCTAATAGACACAAAAGCATCCTACGCCTTTCAACCAAATATTGCTTTCCTTTGCGAGTAAATAAGACTATTAGCTGAAAATATCAATCACTGACTATTTTTAATTGTTTCACAGTCCAATTGAAAATCACCCTTACTCAATACACTTCTTGTTAAATAGCGGTTATACACACCTGTTCCATTCATTCTCAATCATTAAATTTAAAGCTTAAAATTGTTTTTCTTTACCCAGCACGACTTTAAGTTGTTTAACAGTATATCTAATTTTCACAACTCAGCTAAAATTCGAAGAGATGAACTAATATGTACTTATTGACTGAGTGAGAAGGCCGAAAATATTTTGGCTCGAGGTTATGTCGTACGGAACGAGTGCAGCGAGGTTCGTACAAATGATCGAGAGCCAAATATATATATGTTATTTACCGGCTGGGAGGTCCGTATAGGAAAACAATGCCCGAAGTCTTGACAGTACGGAACGAGCGCAGCGAGGTCCGTACATAAAAGACCGAGGCAGTGTTTTCGTATACGGATCGACCTATAGCCGGTAAATAACATTTTTATTTATTTTTTATTTGTATTTTTGGCAACTTTGCTTGCAACCTAGCTGCAGGATACCGTCGTACCGGGCAGATCGTGAAAAACCGGACCGCTCGCTAGCCAATCAMAGCGCGCGAATGACTAGGATACCGGACAGAAAAAAAATAATTTCCCGTACGACCGACCTAACTCAGTCAATAAGCATTTTATCATATGACAGCGTTTTTTTAAGCCATTTCTTTCATGAAAAGATCGACTAACTTCAAGCTAGGAAGATAATGGTTTTTACGGCCCTGTCGCGAAAAGGCGTACGCCCCCCATCACGTGACCAAGTGACCATCACGTGACCATCACGTGAAGGTTTTTTAAGAGCACGCGTAGGGCCGAAATACGGGTCATATGATAAACTTCTTTTGACCGGAATGGCAACGATGTTTTGGGTTCTTCTTTTCTATTATCTTTTGCCAATAAAAGGTAAGGTTCAAAGGCATCTCTCATTTTGAAGCTTTAGATGTGAATTCTTAATATGGGCGCATTTTTCCAAAGCGAAGTGACTAATAATCATGGCTGTCTCTTGTACTCGGGCACTTGTTACGAGGTTTAGCTCGAGCTTCTCGCACAGTATAAGCCTGATTAATAAGTTTCTGTTTACCCGGAGTTGCAAAAACTGGATCTAGTTTGATCTGGTCGCAAAGTMATAGATATTTTTAAAATCAAGCTGCATCAAAAAAGTACAAAAATGAAAYAGTCTTGGAAAATACACACTGCAGCACRGATGGAGATTTAYTTTCTAAATATGATCACAACCTCAAAAAATGTTATTATAACTGAACAATTTGTCGTTGAAAAGTATAATATTTATATGAAAAACACAAACCTTACCAATAATTAAAAATAAATAGATATAATGCAATCCACAAAGCTTACGAAAGCGTTTAAAACAACGTGTTCTTCAATRATTTTATTACCTTTTCAAAAAAGCATTTTTGCAATCTGTCTTGGCGTGTATGGGACAGGACGATTCACATTTAAGATGTTTTTTGATAATTGGACAGGAAAACACATGATTCCAGGGACGCAATGCACGGACTCATGTCTGTTGTCTTTCGTTAACGAAAACGAACGAAACGATGTACTGATTGATGATGTCATTGAAATTTTAACAAAAAAATCTATTTTCTGGAATATTTTGAGTACACAAAGTTACTAAGTACTTTCCTTGAATATCAAATGGAATTGATGGAATCATAGAGTGCACGTCACATAAGCATGAAACAATTCTTAATATGTATTGCTAAATAAGATTTAGTTATCAACTAACTAAGAATTCAACAAAGCATAAACACAATGGCAATTATTTAAATTCCTTTGTAGCATTGCTCTCAATTCTTAGTTAGTTGATAACTAAATCTTATTTAGCACTACATAGTTAAGAATTGTTTCATGCTTATGTGACTTGCACTCTATTAACTTTTAAAAAAGTTTAATTGTTAAGCGGGATCCAGAATCCGGAATGACGGGGTGACTCAAGAACATTCGGTTGCTATAAACAATATGAATAACACTGCTATTAAACGATTATGTCAAACCGGGAATGTTTTGTCATAATGACCACACTGGGATACAGAATAATCACTATACAAAATATTTCGTTTCATCCCTGAAAGAACTTGCAATTAACTTTCCAATTCATTCAAATAAAAAAAAAAAAAAATAAAAAAAAATAAATAAAAATCAATGATGTTTACCACTATTTCTCATTTTTCTTGTCCCCTACCCCTCYCCTCACAGGTGAAGGTGGTTGCAGAAAACTGAAGTTTCTCAAATGTATGGAAAACAAAAGTTTAACAGGTCACATTATCAGTACTTTACGTATTGAAAAACCTGCTCAAATATTTTGTCAGAGTAAATGTTTTCTTGAGAAACGATGTATTTCGTACAACTTGGGTCCAGYCCTTGGGCAGAACAGGTCGTGTGAACTGAATGCCGCTGACCACTCGACACGACCAAGTTTCTTGGTYAACAAAACAGGTTATGAATATTGTCCAATTCAGGTAAGACACTCCGATGTTAATAATACTACAAAGATTGAATCATTATTATTGTGACGTATAGCTGCAAGAGAGAAACAAAGCANAACTAAACAAAATGATTATAGAATTAAACCTTTAAGAATTGAATGCTCATATCAAACATTTTCCACCTTAAATACACACGTGTTTTTCAGAAGGGAATTTAGTCGAACTTTTTTCACGATGGAATTTTGTTTTGAGTCGTTTCAACATAAACAGTCGCTATCAAGACATTACACGAAAAACCCTAGTCACCGTTCTAGCTCTCGTTGTAAGGTCAAAGCTAGTAAATATGTAACCGGCCTGTTACATAACGTCAACCTGTTGTATCGTCGAGCACGCTTTGCGGCTTATTGCCAAAAATGCGACGAAGGATGAACTACGACAGTTGTCACTACCAAAAATAACAAACACTTTAACTCTATTGGAATACGTGGAGCTAAGCTGCTCTAGCTCTTTCAGCGATGTTGTCGGATACCTCAAAGCTTAGAGGAAACAACAGCTAAGAAAAAGGATTTGCAATGGTTCCTCCTAAGATACTTTGGACTTGAACGTCGCTTCAACGACCTTCTGAAGTCTTCGTGAAGTCGGCCATTGCTTCGCATGCAATGGAGAACCCGCGTAGAACACAGACCAATTTTTTTTATCAGGGAGGGGAGTCTCTTGGTATTAAAGAAAAAAATATTTGTTATTTCATTTTTAAGATAAAATTCTATTTCTATAACGATAAATATTTGATTGACATTTAAAAGCTATTTTATAAAGATTTGCAATTTCTCTTTGCGTTTTAGCTTTGATTTTTCGGATAGAATAAAATGGCAGCCAACCTACTCCACTGGGTCGAGTTTTCTGTGCAAATTCCTCCCGTCGGGGGGYTATGTTTACAACATAAGCTTGTCAGCTTTGCGCTGATTGGCTAGTCGCATTTTCTCAAATCACCCAGTAGTTCTTACTTGGGGCATTACTTCAAAAAACTTCCAATATGCCAACCTACATATCTATATCAACCTATCAGCTTACTCACAGTGTAACTGTTAACATTACTCCTATAGATGGAGGATGGACGCAGTGGGGACCATGGACTGCATGTGCCTGCACATCATTGGGTTGGATCACAAAAAGAAACAGAACTTGCACGAATCCTCTTCCACGGCTTAACGGTACTAACTGTGGTGGGCAAGACTCACAAACAAAGACGTGTTACAAATCAGAGCCAAAGGAAAAGTCAAGTGGTAAGCGAAACGCATCGCGAGTCGAATTTTATGTATGCATCGTGGTACACTGAGTGACAARTAGCATATAAATTGTATACATGTTTTAAAAAGTACATCACACACTGCTGTATACAGCTATTTCAAAAACTTTGAGTTCTGAATCGCATTGCTTGATACAAATACTGAAATCAGGAGCGGTTTTAGACTAGTTCACCTAGTTTCCGGAAACTAGTCAGATTTTTCACAAAAATATAATGAAAATCGAAWGAATACTAGAATACAATTATACAAAATAAAATAAATAAATAGTATTTTACCGTGTAGCTTGCATTTCGTTCGCTCTAGCTTCCATTTGGAAAATCTCATTTCGCAGAAAAWCCCYACTGATTCCATATGTCGGACCCAGTTCGCTTTCGAGTTTTTGTCACTCATGGGTCCGACATTCTGTTACCAACTGATYGCCATCACCACATATAGMGGCGACCTCCAATCACGTTGCGTGTTATAAATTGGAGTATGTCATATTTTTAAACAACTTAAAATTGGCCAAAAGCTTTCTTTACATTAATAATACATTAAAATACAATTGGGAATTTGTGATATGTCTAAATGAACAAATGTCGTCAGGATTTCATTATATTTTTAGGGTCCTTTGTTGRASCTACGCTCTGTTAGGTAACCCGGCCTACGGGCGGAGTCTGTAAATAAAAATARATAAATAAAATAAATATTTGCAGTGG